ATATATATATATATATATATTCCTCTGTTTGCGTTACCATCTTATTCACTACTCAAGCCCTTTGGGAGGCTATTAGCCGCAATAAAAGAGCAACAAGTTATTACTAAAAAGCTCTTGTACCACCCGGGTAACAATACTTTTTCACATGAATACCTAAATTGATAGAGCATTATCCATGCAAACAGGACTATAGCGGAAACTTTAGCGGATGCTTGAATCTTCGATTGAATATGGTGCACAGCATAGAAATTCAGTTAACCTAAGCGGTTTACTTAAGCTCATCCGATCGAACTTATCATATTACGTTGATCACATCCTGGACGTTTGTCTACAAACAGTGTTTGGTAAGCATGCAAGAGGATGAATGAATTGACTAAAACTGGTGGTTTTCTCAAACGATTAAAACTTAAGCCAGAAAACTGTCCCAGACCTCTCGTTGTGATGAACAAATATCGCACAGTATACGCATTTAGTGGTTGGTAACGACCAAATAACCACTGAGTGATTTGCAAAAATAGCATGTGATACGCCCCATCCCCAGTGACAAGACACTGAAGGATAAGTATTTGTACAATTATATCCGTCTGTGAAAAATGGTTACGCTACTAAAACACTGTTAGTTTTCCATGGTTTTTTTTGACAGGAATTCGGTACGAAACAACATGTGCCAAAACGTGGGCACTTCACTGCACCATGGGGAACCTGTTCGCATACGGTCGCAGTATCCAAGATGTGTCAAACAGATCTTATTTTGGTGTTTTATTTATCATTTTGAATTATCGTCGTGAAAGCATCTCACAAATTCCTCTGTTTATCATCAACCTGTACCTCGCTCCTACATCATCAGGGTCGTATGCGAGTGTACACTTCAAGTTGAAGGGTTCAATGTGTCCGTTTCCATGACCAAAAGTACACAGTTGTGACAACCACATTGAAACAGTACATTCCAACCAGACAGAGTGACGTTGCCTGGTCTAAATTGTAGCTTGTCGGAAGCACAGTTCTCTTTAACGTCCAATGGGGAACGAGGAAGAAAATGAGGACATCGAGCATCGTAGAGGCTGAAGATGGTTTGGAATAGCACCGACGAGCTGCCAACTAGATGACAAAAAGAGTGACTTTGTGGACAAATAAACTCGTCTACTACCTAGTTTGATGCTGATCTTCTGATTTTTTTATTGACCAAACTTATCAGATTCCAAGAAAATATTTTGTAAACAGTATTCGCATCTCAAAAGGAAGAACATCGGTATACATCTAGCACTCTTAAGATGATATAACACAAGCACAGTCAGAGACTAGGCTGTGTTGTGGTTGCTATTAATAATTTAGACATGATTTTCGAAAGTGACCACAGAAACCTCACGGTTAAGTGATTTTCGAAAGGCTGGTATATATATCGTATTGAAACTGTTGCCTGTATTACTGAGATTTTTTGCTTCAACTGATGGATGTTGCTAAAATTTAGCTGTCAAGTCAAATATTACGATCTATTCTTGCACCTTTATCAAAGATTCCTAACAGCATGACATAATTCATCCTTACCTCAATAATCACTTGCTTACCGGCGGACCTTTAGTGTGTAACCTAGTGAAATACTTTAAGAAGAGGTCGTGCATATAGATATGAGATTAAGGGGGGTGGATACAGTGCTTGCAGTTGATAAAAAGTTTCCTTCGAAGTCTGTTTATTGCTCCTTTTTGTTTCTTTCAAAACTACTTGACTTTTCACTACATATATGCTGTCTTATCTCACAGAGTGAAGCAGTGAAGTTTATCGATCTTTTTGGGATGACGAAGGTAAACGGGAACTACACTGGCGAGCTTGCAGCATCAGAAAATCGTCTATCTGCCACCTTGTGAGTCACAGAAGAGGTGAAAGACATTCCTCGAGGCTAGAGGTGCAACTGGTGATCCTTTTGGATTAGGGGGCCCCACGATTATTGTGGATGACAATCAATTAAAAAAACGGAAAATAAACTACTACTTTATTATAAAAGCGATGTTAACTCCAACATTTATCCAGTTTCCTCGATTGTTGTCAAGATTCACCGCTAATCAAAGGCATATGCACACTTACCCTGCAGAATCGGGATCCGCATAACGAATTCCAGCAAATTGATCACCAAAATGTATATTGTTCTTTTGTCCGAGCGCTAGCACAGCACCTAACAGCACCAACAGAACAGTCCCCATTCTCTCGTGTTACAATCTGGCCCAGTCAGTCATATACCTATCTTATTTATAGAGAGCTAATTTAGATACGCTTCACGAACATTGTCCAATATTAACTTTGTACCAATAGCTGTACCTATCGGGAACTGCAGCCTCGTAATTGACTCCGGACTTAACGAACCCCGTGCGCACCTGGGTCTGTGCATCTGACTGTGTATGTGTGTGCGCGCGCTTGCATGCGAAAAGTAGAGTGTGGGCTCCGATCTCATCACTATAAACAATGGTCAATCACGAATACCGATGTTTGTAAAAATTTGTCCTAATTCTAGTCGCATTCAACCGAACCGGATCTGTTCGATCGACCAGTCATTGAGTGTTCATTTTGAATTCGTCTCACCTTCTGATTCACAGTAGCCTCCACCTACCTTCCCCGCAGCAGTATGAACATAGACCGAACTAACGCTGATGGAATACCTCCTGCTGGCCGCGAATGGATTTATGCGTGCAACTGTATTCACTGCCAATCCTAAGAAGAAGTGTCATGCGAACAACAGTTTCGAAGCTATATACCACGAATCATGCAATTTTTCGAAAGCAGTATACTTTAGCGCAAGTATGACGAAAGCTTGAGATTATTTTATTAAATGTATCCTGACTAATCCCAAAGTAGCATTTATACCATTTATTATGAAACGGAGTAAATATACCAACTTTGGTAGGAAAAAAAGGCTAGGTGATCCATTTCCATCACAACGAGATCGCACTTTGACGTAAAGTGATAAATTGCATGCTTCTGCAAGCTATACAGGATGGCATTTAACGGCCGCACATCCAATCATGTCTACAAGGTCAATGGATAGAGACCAGAAAACTCCCAGTCACAAAAGAGCAGCGGAATGGTAACCACCTGACTTCCTGTGACTATTCACTCTCGCCCCGAGAGAGATCACTCTTGCAAATAAACACGGAGAGGTGCAGTTTGAGGATCAAAGGAAAAACCCACTGACTAGACATACGGTCGGGATACCTGAGTGGGAGGTTTCGCCAGTCTCATACGGTGCACGAGGTTAAGGGTCGCAGGATGGATCGACGATCATTGTACCAGCAAAAAAAACAGTGAAGCGAAACCGTGAGGCTCTGTGTGAAAGAACTCTAAAAGCTCCCACGTATATACTTCAGTCAGGTACCGCGATGGATCTACATCCACGACCATGTGGGTCAGACGTTTGACTTCAAGGCTCCGATCAAAGTTTCCAAAGGAAAACTCTTTCGTCGATGTTAGCTACCGCGAAGTTTATCTTTGCCTTAAGTCTAATGTACCCATTTGAGGAACCGTCTTCATCTGACTAGTTCCTTTATCGTACTCAATTATGCAAGATACCCCTTTGTTTGCATCTCAGTGGGTATTTTTGTTATTTTGGCCAGTAAGATGAGTAAACCATCGGTCACTGGACTGGTCCAACTAAAGTCTTCTTTATACTTCATCAGCTGGGCCAAAAATGTTTTGGTAAACCCTTGAAACCTTCAGTGTCTTGGAGACATGCATAAAAGATCATCCATCAGTTATGGTACTGCGTTCTCCAGGGCCAACCAACTTCGTTCTTTACTCTGTCAGGCATTTTGTCTTTTAGAGCACTCGGTGTTACCGGTATCGGGATGGTGCTAATTTTCATGGCTGGAAGCTCGTTTCTGGACTGGATTCTGATCAGTAGTTAATTATGCGCCGCATAGTTTAATGCTCCGGTACAGATCAACAGCAACTGGATGAAGCGCCCGGACCGTAGGGGGTCGACTGATGGCAGTTGGCTCGAAGTGGATGACTTTTACAATGGTATCGACTGCTCCACAGTATTCGTTCAATGGACATCTTAATTTTCACGTGCGCTTCAAACATTCAAGTGGGATCCCCGGAGGCACCAGAGAGGCGTTTAGGCGGCTCACGTGCAATCCCATACAATCAAACGGACAGTGAAGATTGTCAGGAAGTATACCCTCTCCCTCGGAAAACTGATTTGTTCAGCGACGACCAAACAGAACAAGGATAAGCGAACTCGGGTAGTTGGTTGGAACAGACAACCAATCAAGACCGTTGACAACAGTCCAGTGAATTAACTGTTTCTATTTCTTCCCTCGTCTCTATAAGCATGCATTTTGTGAACAAAATGAATTACTACATACTTTCCGCCATGTTCTATTTCATCATCGGTTTAATCGCTATCTGGAAGGAAAACGTTATCGGAAGACGATCAATTGGAAATCCGGTAGCAAGGCCAATCCGTGTGGTCATAACAGAAATCGTCTGAATCAACTCAATGCATATCTCGACTTCTCGCACAAGAAACGACACTGACTGACTCTTCTTAACAAGGGGAAACAAATCGATCACATTGCGAATAGCTGCCGCTATCACTCAAGACTGTCCCTTCATCTGGCCTATGCCTGTGGACACGGACCATGCTCTGGGAAAAACCAAATATCATATGCATCGGATAACAAACCGCCACAAGTACGACGGAAATGTACATTACCAGTACAATGTCAGCAACTGAGTGGGGGTGGATTTAGGCACATGAGCATATCATAAATGAACTTATTCAACCTCTGTGGGCTTTTTGGGTTCTCACAGAAGGATTTTTCAGGATGCCAAGTATGATCCTAAATGCAAGTCCCTTAAACACCATCTTATCAAGAAAGTGAAGAATGCCTGAGCACCAAAATTTAAGGAGATGAAGAAGGCTGTGGTAGTTGCTAACAGTTGCGATCTTTTCGTCTAATTAGGAACACTTGCCTGCGGAAACTCGACGTAAGCGAGGTAAATGAAGAGCCCATCGGTACATTGATTGACATTCGACAAAGCCGTGTAGAACAAAAGAAACAGCATTTCAAACCAGTTTAACTGTCATTTGTCGTCAGTGGGTCTGCAAACTTTTGCCTTCGATCAGTTGATGCCAGTCCTGATGGTTACTCGGGAAAACAGTTACCTCAAAGTTGCAAAGCTTATGATCCAGACGAATTTTCCCCCTCCAACTCGAAGTATGGGAGCTCAACCTAAAACTAGGATTTGACAAAACTCCCGGGTTTAGTGTGGGAAAGCAAACGGGATTGAGAGAGTGGAGTGATTCGGTTATCATGTCGATTTACAGGAAAAGGGATAGAGCGTCTGGTGATAATCACAGAAATTAACTTGACTAACATCACCTCAAAGCTCCTCGCTGGTATCGTACTCTGTCGATAGTCTGAGGCACGCGTAGGAACCACACCACGAGTTGACATCGGCCAAATTCTCATCTCTAGCCAAATTCTTTAACTCAGACATTCCTTCCGGAAGCCCCTCTTTTTATCTGCTTTGAACTAAAAGTAACNGTAACCTTCCACTCGGTCGGTTGCACGGTACGCTGGAGTTATCTCTCCTCAAAGGATGTATCCGGAAGATTTATTTCTGTGAATTTTGCACACCAACAGTCGAAACCGCTTTCGAACTTATGGCATCCTTTTGCCCGAGTTCACCAAAGAGCTGTCCGTCAGGGTTGCCATCTTTCTTTCTTTCTCTTAAAATTTCTAACAGGTATGACTCAAGTGGCGATCATGTCCTCGTGCAAAGGTAGCCACGGCAGGCTGTCTAACTTGGAGTACGCAGGCAACATTGTACCGCTAAGTGAAAACCAGTGTAAGGTACAAGTTTTTCTGAACAGTTTTAGTGTTGGTGTAGCTACTTTCGGTATGCGCTTTGTACCTCCCAGGGATAAAACGCTTTTACAGAATTGGTTAGGTTTAGCTTTGTACGTAACTTTAAAGGGAAGGCAACAGATAAATTAGACAAATTTTGATACTTAAGCTTATATCTCATCTGGTGGAGGCATCACGAATGAAATATCTACATGCATATAGAAGGCTCGGCTGACTTTAGACACAGATGTCGATGGTGTCACCGCGATATTAACTTGTGGAGGGTCTAGTATATGCTGCATTTAACCGTCCAGTTCACCTGCATAGTGCAGAGGTTTGACCATGGGGGAAACTGAACCACAATGCCCTTACTTGGTGAGGCAACCGGATAATTAATGACAAAGTCAGATAAGGAGTACCGGTTATTGAAGTCCGTCACTGGATCAAGTGCTTGACTTTCACTGATTAAGACGGCTGAAACACGTATAACGCATATCACTAGATGGGCTTTCTCGGCGAGTGATGTTTGCCGAAACAGGCAAATTAAACCTGGTACAAGGTTCATAAAACTGATCAACGAACTGCCAGTTTGGGGACTTCGGAGTCAGTCTGACTGATGGTTAGAGACATCAAGTGATATGGCAGAATGTAGTAAACAAGGACCATCAAGCGTGCACTCAATTTTTTGTCAGATTTGGCTCTATTTTACCCCGCCTCTTTACCACAGTACTGTTTTTAGCGGTCTAATGCTTCCCTTTACCCATTCATCCAAATAGGCAGTAACGAGAACCGCCCCACGAAGGCAGGTAGTTTAGGAGCTGCATGTGCTGAAGTGAACTTGGCCGTATTGGCGAACATCATGGACACGGAGAAGTTGCCATAGGTGTCTATCAAGATTGTTTTCACTTTCACTGTCAGTCACATGTGGTACACATTGTGTTAATCACTTCAACACCATTCCTAACATCTTCAGAACCATCATCTGTATTTTTTATTCCTGTCTGCTTGTCAAAACTTGTGTTGAACGGGCACTCTGGTAGTAAACTGTATAGAAATGAATGCCAACAGGGTCTTTTGGTATTCTTCTTTTCAAAGCCGTGAATGTAAGGTAAATTTGAAACACATTTCCGACAAGTCGTCTATCGAAGGCGCGAAAGGTACATTATGGGATACCTTCAGGCAAACGGTAACAAACTGCATACATTGAGGTGCACGCAAATAACAGTCCAGAGATTTACGGTTCAATTGGGATCAGGATAACAGTGATTCATGCTTTGTAGTTATCGAAAAAATCTTCGCCAACGGACAACGTAATGACATCGTTAGCTGCGAAATTTGGAATGCGGTGACAAGAA